CTGACTGACTGACTGACTGACGGACGGACTGAATAACTGACTGACTGGTCATTCAATCCATCGTTAAAGCTATATCGACTGATTGATCGATCGATCGATCGATCGATCGATTGACTGATTGACCAGGATATACGACAAAAATCAGAAAGGCACTACTTCTCTAGAACTCATTCGCCCGTTATAAACGGAACCTCTTCTGTATTCTACGGGTTGGGGGCATCGCTTTGACCGGCTATCCATCGTTTTAGGGACCAAAAGAGAAACTAGTTCCTACAGGTAGAGGACGACCCTTCAATTTTTCCTTCATTGTCTATTAAACCTATTGTGGTGCAATTGAGCGTCTCACTTGCTGTCGTTCTTCCCTTCTTGTGGTTCCATTTTGCAAAGCATGAAAGTTCAGGACTGAGACAATTGCGTTCACTTCACGAGTGGCTTCTTGGATCTTACCCACTCTTATTAAGGAAGACAGTGACTCTTTTATAAAGTTCTGAAACTTCGTGAAGGTCTCATTCTGTCTATTTCTTCCCAGTAGCACCTGAAATAAATTAAAAAGACGAGGGATACCACAACAAGTAGCAGGTAAACACTCTGCATTGTTTCAATCACAAAATAACCAGAATTCCTGAATATACAGATTACAGTGAGAAAAAGAAATAAGGTTTTTTATGCCAGTTGTTGTGTAAAAGTCACACAAATTGCAAAAGGTTCTTAACACAGTTTCAAAATTTTTCTGCAAAAATTACATCGCTGTGACATTCCACTGACGATGACTTTAAACGCAACGTCCATGACAAGTCCTCAATCGACTTGTATAAAACATATACATTACGAAACGTTACATATATATATATATATATACTTTGATCCTTTCATTCACATACCTTGACATCGATGTTTGATGCACTGTACGTTTTGTGACTATCAAAAATCTTGACCTGAAAATCCAGTGTAAAATTATTTTCCACATCTCCAAGCGGAAGCTTAGTAAAGAAAACAGGTGATATGCCATCATACAGAAGAGACACGACTCCGTACGAGTTTCGGTATTGAAACTCGTATGAAAGTGGAAGATCTTTGTCAGTCCATCCTTCGCACTTAAAGGAAAAAATTGTATCATCAGAAAAGCCCCTGGTTGGGTCTACAGAACAGCTTCCACCAATCGGTGGAATGTTCACACTGAAGGCTAATTCACTGTAACCATTTGTTCTACCAGGAACCATTCCAATAACCGACACCTTGTAAGTATTCCCAGGGTGAAGAGTGTTCCCCGGGAGATGAAGCTGATGAATTCTTGTATCATCAATAGCTATAACTTCTCTCCAAACAGACTTGCCTTCTTGTTCATCTCTCTCGTAGACATGCCACTGGTATCGTGCTTCCACAATGGCTGCTGATTCCGCTGTGTCAATTTCGGTCTCAAGAACGAGACCTTCCGACGGATTAACTGTTGCATCGCAGTTTCGTTTACACCTGTTGGCAAACAAGTACGTTTATTATAACAGTCTGGCTTGTACGACATCCAAAACTATAGACATAGTTAACTAAACTGCATGTAGTTTGTCTTCCCAAGTGAATGAAAATTAAACTAAAGATTGGCGCCTATACCTAGAGGGCTAGAAAGAATATGAAAGAATATTATACACGTATACATATATTAGTGGCAACGCTTATGACCACTGAAAGGTTACGGGTAGCCTTAGCCATCAGCTGAACTGTATAATTTAAATATCTCTAAACTGACTACATGTAGCTTCAGTGACGCAATCGCTTTGAGCTACGTTCCTGATATGTGGTCACATTGTCTTATGATAGGCCCAAATTCATACGGTTTATTTGTTTGAAATATTTATATAGCTATAAAAAGTGAAACACCACGATTACGCCCATGTGCTTATATTTGGATTGCTACTAGTCTTCGTTGGAGATTAGAAAGCCTTGTTCGGAGGTGGCGCTTACTTAGAAGGTTTATAGTATATCCTCTATATCTGAAATTCGAGAATGAGATATAGATGCTGTTTGGGAGTTATATTATCTCTACGTCTTTACTAACCTGATCTTAATCACTGGCGGATCACCATCGACAATCTTTACCACTTGAGAGAAGTTAGAGATTCGAAAGTGACTGTTAACTGTTTTGGAAACAAACAACACAACTGCGTATGATGAATGCAGCTTGAGTTTTCCTGTGTACGGTATCTCGATAGACAATCCTGCCTCCATTAAAACCCCTCTCCTTGAACCATTACAGAAAGCAGATGCATTGTAAGTAGAGGCACTGGAAAGGGACGCTTCACTAAGTACCAAATCTCCTTGAATGTTCCAGGAAGCATTTTGGCAGAGCCAGTAGTAATGTAAATCATGCCCAGTTTCATCAGCATCGTTGGTGTCGTCAGGATCCCGGGAATCCGATCCGTCAAAAGTGTACGGTTTACCAAAGGCTCTCTCACTTAAACTCCCTCCTTTGATGGACGCTATCAGAGGATTTCCGCGTATTTCAATGTAGCCTTCCACAACGCTGAATACCTCATACTGTCCTCTCATGCTAACATTTAACCTAATCACATAGATACCATATGTCACGGTGTTTTCCTGTATCGTAAGCTTTTCGAGTTGTTTGTTATCTGGGTTAAGATCTGTGTGATTCCCAAGTTCATTCCCAGACAAGGACACTTGAGCAAGACTCCAGCTAATATCCTTATGACTAGTTGCCCTGCAATCAACTTCAATCTGAGAATGAAAATAAACTATCTGTGATGGCGTAAAAGTTGTGCGAGAATTAATGTCCTTCTCAAACTCTGGCACCGATATGGTCGGAAAATTGCATGGTATCTTTACCACAAGTGCCTTGACATGTATTTCGAAACGTGAGACCAGATTCCACGCTTGTAAACTTACATCGTAACTGCCCAACGAGGCGTAGTTGTGTTCAATGGAAAAGTTATTCTCTACAAAGTTTGTGAATTCCACTGATGGTTTCTCATAGGCGCAATCTGCGTGGCCAAAACCAAAAACAGTTCCATCACCAAGACTAACAATGAAACAAGAATTCGTCCCTTTGTCCTCAGTTAAGATATTGAGAATTACTGACTCATCAATTGGCCTAGGGAAGTTATGACTGAAAGAAATGTTTTTAATCGGCAGTTGCACAGCGGCGACAGCTGTTTGGGTCGAATAGCCAAAATTATTGGAACAATTAACAATAACCTTGAAAATGTCAATTGCTTTATACATATGGTAGATCTCCGCGGAGGACATGTTTTGGAAAGATGATGTTTGGATGAAACTACCATCTCCGAGATCCCAAGAACATAAATACGGAAATCCTTCGGTAACGTTCAGTATCATTTGCGTTGACTCAGTAAAGTTGGCTGGTAAGACTTCTAGAGCTACCTTACCAAGTGATAAAACTTTGTGAACGTAAACAGTTTTCCAGACCTGGACCGTGCTGATGTTATTGTAAACGAAGACAACAATGTTCTTTGCACCACTTTCCTGATAATTGAAAAACAATTCCGTCGACCTTTGCGTGAAGCTGGTTCCGTCCCCCGTAATGAACATAAGTTCTGGGTTAGAACCATTTCTGATTTCTAGAGCTACGTTAATCTCATCCTTCTGATAGATAAGTTCGAAAGGCCCACAGTTCTTTACAACTAGACACGAAATCTTAATTGGAATTTCAACAACAACACTTTGAAACACGCTGACGTTATTTAACTCATTCATAGCCATTATGATGACGTGAAACAGTCCTGGAACGTTATAGATATGGGAGTTATTTCTTTGCAAGGTCCCCCGGACTCGTGAAAGTAAATACGTTTGTGTTGAATTATCGCCGTAATCGACAGATATGTGAACCGTTGTACCCGAGTCAATGGTCCAGTTAATGAAATAAGTATCTCCTAAGGCGATCGCTTTCATTGATTCGTTTACTTTAAAACCTGTGACAGGATCTTGTACAAGGATAGGGACCCTTGTCAAAGAATGGTTTTGAAGTTGTAAAACCAGTTCTAATAAGCCAGTTGTATTGTAGGTGTGCTCGATAACGCAAAGAGATGTGTTGGTGACATTGCAGTCTCCGAAGTCCAAACGCATTACACTACCAGTGCAGTTATCGACCCGTATAACAACTGGTGTGTTTGTTGCCACAACGGGAGGAACTGTTATGCTGAGTGCTGAAAGTTCAAAAGAGGACATTAATTTTAGCAGTCCTATTTCACTAACTAAATTTACGATATTCCCGGCATTCAAGGGCTCTTGCCAAGCGTCTCCAACCAAGTTGGGTATTGAACTTTACTCACAAATGCACACAAATGTGCACCCATAAAAGTAACAAATTGCTGAACAGGTTGGCTCCTTGTCGTCTTTCAGTTATCGAGGTAATCAGCAAGACGTGTGCCTTGCTTTGGTGCGTTCACCTATTCGTGCAAACTTGATCTTAATCAAAACGAACGTAACTCATCCTAATTAAGACGACAACGCAAGTTTGTTGGGTCTTCTTGCGACTCTGAGCACGCCTGGGAGGAAAAGTCTGTCTGAATCACATCATGATGGCAAATAACACCGAATGAAAAGTCATGTTCTCCGGGAAGGGGTCACTTTGTAAAAATCGTCATGATTCAACTGAAGAATGGCAATACCACATGTAATAGGCAATTCCCTATTTGCAAAGCCTCCCACATAAAAAGATGTTTTAATTTATTCGACAAGTGTCCATTTCCATGTCGTGCCTCGGTGCCCATTTTTACAATCTTTACAGCAGTTTTACCATTGATGTAAATGACTTCATTTGACAGTTGATGAAAGGCACATCTATTTACGTGTCCTGTGCTATTGGTTCTGGGGCGTCTTATACCGAACACCGTATTTTCTCCTTTTGACAACATATCGTTTATCTTAGTTTCTGGACCATGATATTTCAGATCCCCTTGTTTGCGCCTGTTGACGATCTTCTTTCTTCCCGCTTCAATTCTCCGAAGCCGGCAGCTTTTCTGGAGCGTCACTCTTACAAAACTGCTCGCTTAACTGATTTCTTGAAGCAAATATTGTTAGCGAGGGTAAAATCCAGTCCAACTTGGCCTAGTTTTTTTTAAAAATTTGTTTGTGTGTGTTCGTTCGCGACACATTTTGACAAATTGGTAGGTGCATAACAGAATAGGCCGAAAATTCAATCTAAAAGTAACATGGCAAAATACGCTATTAGTAACTAACATATGACAATCTTTCACACTAACAAATAGTTTAACATCCCACCTGGACAAAGGTGCGTGTTACAAATCTTTTCTTCTTTATCCGGTCCCAAAAGTGAGCAATCCTTTCCGCCATTTTGTTTCTTTGGATTTTCACAGACGCGCTCTCTGTATTGCTGTCCCCCTGCGCAAGAGGCACTGCACGCTGACCAAGCAGACCAATCGGTGTATCCACCATTCACGACGTCAACTAATTATGATTTTAAAACAAAACTACTAAGTGATCTCTGATGTACTTTACAGCAAAAGTCAAACCCTTGCCTCCTTAACTTAACGACGCTTTCTTTTAACCAAGAGAAAACGAGGGGACATTCTGCCCCCCTTCCCCACTTTCTCTTGCTTACCTAAGTGTGTTTCACACATTTTAACTTGTGAATGAAGATTTAAGAAAAAAGTGACCGATCAAATATACTTTCTGTGGTTCCGTTAAAATTTTCCAAATAGACCGCATTTTAGCAATTTCTCGGTTTTTCTCTTTGGGACTCTCTGAAAGTAATTGGGACATACGGCCTTCGTGAGAAGCTCTCTAACATTTAGTATGATAATATTTTTAAAAAAAATTTCGAGTCCTACCATCACATCCAAGGATTTCTACTCTCATGCAAATTCCTTCGTGCCAGGACTTCACGTGAAACTTGATGAACCGTAGAGATGTGGGATCAAGATGGTGCGTAATTGCAGTAAACTGATCAACATTCCCTTTGAAAACCTGTAATCCAAAGGTATACAATTGAGATATTATGTTTCGATCAATCCTTGAAACGATTTAATAACGAGCGCTACATTAAATTATGATTCTATGATGATGATTCTAAAATCAAATAACAAAGATTTCTGGTCTCAAGAGCGAGTAAAACCTCAAATAGGAGTTTCAAAATTTAGAATTTTACGACTTGACACTGATTTAATTTGGAGATAAATCAGTTGACAAAACTAAACAAGATTAAAGTGTCATATCCCCTTGTCGTCTTTTGTTATTTGCATTGTTGCTAATTTTGTTGTTGTTGTTGATGATGATGATGCTATTGTTGTTTCTGGTTACGATTTCAGAAATCAGAGAAGTACAGGAAGCGGCTGGGTAAAAGGCTCGAGCCAACCCATTCAACTCTAACTGTTCCTCTTTAGATAAGTAAGCTTAAGATACGCAAAACCTTGATATTGCCATCAACCATGTAAGGTTGCAAATTGTCCAATCCATTTGCCGAGGACACCGTATATTCTGTGACCCACTTTGCATCCTTTCCATGCTTTCCTTGGGTCGATATCCCAGTCACTCTTTTCTTTTCTCCCAGGTCAATAAGTAGATATTCTCCTGTTATGTTGTTGGCAGCGCACCAGCCTCCACCACCAATCACGCGGTTTAGTCGTGCACTCCAAGGCTCGTTGTTAACGTTGTAACTACTGGCTGTGAATAAATCGTCCAACAATTCGCCATTATTCACACCAAGAGGGAAGCCACAAACTGAAACAAACAATAATAAACCAGTTGTTATAGTAATTTATAATTACTGATTTCAGTATTTGAACCTGGTCATAAGCGAGCCTCAGAGTAAAGAGCAAAGGCCTTAGAGTTGACATGAGTCTTGAATTAGGGTATGTGTGATCAATCGGTTATCTCTTGTTATACGGTTGGTATCCCAGTAAGCTACTTTAATGATTGCAAAATTATTGTAGCACACAAGAATAATTCTGACTATCGCTGGTAAAGTCCGTACAGACTTGACCAGACGTTGTAATGAGTTTGTCAGCAATGTCGCTATACATTCGTAAAGCTTGAGAGGACATCAAAACTTTAAACACTATAAAAGAATCAAATCTTACAATATGCCTTTCATTTATAATACAAAAAATTGGATCCCAACAGTATCAAATTTAACTTTTTTCGCTCCCACAAAATAAAACTCCAATTATCAATAATCCATTTCAATCCCCCATAATTTTACATACATAGACTTTGTTTCGGAATCAAATAGTTGGCTTAATAGATCCTTGTTTCTTCGAGGGTAGAAAATAACACATGCTTAATCACTTATGCTCCCATTACGAAAAACCAGTCTTCAATCTCCTTGCATGTTTTCACCTTGAAAAGTTTTCTGTCAGATGCTGCAAGATGGCATGGGCTTTCAGAGCCACAGACTCGTTAAGGTTAAACTTTGTCAAACAATTTCTTTCAGGCAACCTTTGCTTTAGTTTGGCAAGCTGGCAGATGTAACCTAAGTGATACTCAGATTCATACCTTGATAACCATACAGTTCAACTTTCATGCACACGTGATTAAACCACGTGACAGAAAGAAACCTGACATAACGAGCTTTTATTTCGTGGCTCATTCCATGTTTGACGATGCCATGGTCGTCGGTGTTCCCCAGGAATACCTAAAAGAAATGTTATGAAAGTATGAGTAATGTCTACTTTAAAGCCATCTCTAACCAGTATTTCAGTTTCACTCCTTTCCTTTCATCAGCTAAGGACTTGTTTGTTGTTGTTGTCGTTCTTGTTGTTGCATAAGTTCATTATACGGTGAATGTTTTTAACAGCTGCTAGAAATACTTTGATTATTACAATGAAAAATAATGTGCATTTCTGAAGAAAGTTAAAATTTGATATGTTTTATTAAAAATTAAGAAGAAATACGCTGCAGGTCAAAAACTTTAAGAGAAATAAAATAGTTCACGCTACCTTTGCAGTCTCATTTTCGATGTACAATTCCCACGAAGACCCATCCAAACTGTACGACAAATTGTACTGCGTCACCCAACAACTATCATTCATCACGTGACTACCTTGAGTGGCCACTTGAGTGATGTTATGGCTAGTTCCTAGGTCAATCTGTAAGTACTGTTGACTGTTATCTTCTCCCGCGCGCCAAGTTTCGCTCTGGAATCCAACAGCTAGGCGGGCTCTCCAAGGCTCGTTACCTGGCCCTGCATGACTGGAGGCCGTCATGGCTGAATTATTAAGCTTTTGTTTCTGAATTCCCAGAGGTGTACTGCGACCTTGTGATTTCAACAAAATCTGATTAAGATATTTCTGTCACAGTATTTTAAGAAAACAAATTACTACTTTGCTACTCTTCTCCACAGTTTCGTTTCTTGTTGTTTTACTATAGACACTTTCAGTAGTTGCGTTATACATACCCCTACTCCGTATGTCCACTCGCATACACACATGACCAACCCAACTGACTGGATGGATCCTGATAAATCGTGCCAAAACATGTTTCATAAATTGGCGAGTGGCAACAGACGTGCTGTCGTTATTTCCTTGGAAGTGCTATAAATGAAAACATAGATTATTCAAATTACTGATTGTCAAAAGAAGTACGGCCAATAGAGTTCTTATTCTCTCAAAAAAAGAAACCCTGTGAGGACAGAGACCTATGAAACGAAAACTGCTCATTACATTTCCATATATTCTGCAAAGCCGGAAATTCTCATAACGTTAAAATAAAGAATCAAATATATGAATAGAACGATCCCTGCTTTCATTTCTCTTTCTTCCATTTTCAACGGTGGGAAAAACCTAGTGGGATAACATTATGCATTTTTACCTTTAAAGAACCGTTCTCTTTATATTGTTTCCATATGTCACCAGAATGTCCATAAGAAACCGTGTAGGTCTCAACCCAGGCGTCCTCGTCGACAGCTCCTTGAGTAATGATCTCTGTGACGTGGCTGTTTCGCTTGAGGTCGATTTCTAGGTATTGCACATCGTCATCGAACTCAGCACACCAAGACTTGTTGCCGCTGAGTATGCTGTCCTGTGGTGTCAGCGGATATCGAAAACTTGAAGCACTGAAGGAGGTGTTCGTAACCACAAGCAACTCGTCCTCTGGATTGGAGAGGAGAATTGTGAATGAGAGCAAGATATGCCAAAACAAAGCAAAAATAATCCATAATGAGCTTCAGTAAGTACTGTACAAATCAACATAAGCAGTCTTTTTTTAGGAATTGAGAAACTCCTGTGTTTTTAATCACGTCGCTGTTTAATTTCTTACCAATTCTTTTGCCATAAATTTCCACTCTTAGCGAGAGCGTGGGCATAGTTGTTGCCCATCGAGTCACGTGGAACTTGACGTAGCGAGTGTAAAATGCCCGGATGAAGACGTGTCGCACTGGGAGGTCCTGTTCTTTATAGGTGTTGCCGCTGAAGACCTGTATACACAACATTAAGCATGTGACCGTTTTAATTGGGAGTTAAAATTTCAAGTTTATATATTGTTAAAAAATCTACTCCCTTTTTCCGTAGTCTGAACTATTTTTAAACCATAATGGCGCCATAAAACACTTTAAACTTGTAGTGAAACCTAGGGCTAAGCTCATGTTTGGAACATTTTATGACGTCATTAAATTTGTACGGTCTGAAAAATGTGGTCGATCTGTTGAATACCTTGGGAAATCTTTCCTCTAGATAGTAATACCATCCAGTTCCATCATCACTAAATGATAACAGATACTCCAACACGTATCCATACAAGTCGTGCTCATCATTATTACAGCCCTGTGTTGCGACTCCACCTACGGACACCAAACCTACACCCAGGTCAACAAGGAGGAAGGTTTTTGCAGGCAGGAAGGCCCAGCAGCCAGTGCTGCTGTGTAACCGCGATAGCCACGGTCCGTACGTTCCGTGCATCTCTGACTCAAAGCTGTCCGAGGCGAAGATATTGCTGTCAGCGATTCGGTGGTCGCTCATCCCCAAAGGTGTCAAGATCTGTTCGTTGAAGACTGAAAGAATAGGAAAATCAACATTATAAATAAGTCCAACCAGCAGCCTGAGATGCTAGTAAGAATAGTGTTTCGATTGGATTCTTTTTTCTGAGGTCTCCTCGGTATATCTTGAGAAACATAGCTTTCTGGTTCTTTTTTTCTATTGAGCCATTTCCTTCATCTATAGGGGAAGAATGTGGAAACCTAAAAGTGCAACATAAATTTAATTTCCACACGCTAGTCTGCAGTAATACAGTATGCCTATGTTAGGTATAATTGCCAGTTCATTCGATTGGACAGGGCCTTCGCAGGTGTGAAGTGGTGAGAAATATGTTTAAACATATTAACATACTTAATCAATTTCAGTTGCGCCGTAACGAGAGGAAAGCCTTACCTTTGCATCCGTACAGTTCGATCCTTACGCATGCGCGAATGTTCCATTTCTTAGGATGAAAGCGAATGTACCTGACACTCGTAACATTCTTCAGCTGGTTTTTCACAGTCGATGCCCCGTCCGAATTGCCGGTAAATATCTATATTGAAACATAGTATATAACATTCCGGTGAAAATGAACTACTGCATGTTGTACCGCAGATGTTGTTGTTGTTGTTGTTTTTTCCGTATTGTTCTTGTTCTCTCAGAACATGTACAGTTTGTTCCCTTCCATACTTTGCCGCTGAAAAACTGTTTTCGACACTGAGTTGACTACTAAGCGAAGAAAACCATCCTACTTAGGTGTAATTAGTGAGGTTGGCTGTTTTTGTTGTCATGTTTGTTTTTGTAGAATTTTCGTTTCATTTATAGACAGCAGTTAGCTCTGTTCAAATTTCTTTGCTTCCCGATCAAGCAGCAAGGCAGAGCCACAGCAAACCAACAGGGGGCAAGGAAAAGCGAGTATTCCCTAAGAGTATGAGAGTATGATGCAAAATTATAGCTTGATAATATCTGAAACTGAGGACCAACCTTTACAACACCGCTCTCAGTGTATGAAAACCNTTGTTGTTGTTGTTGATGATGATGATGCTATTGTTGTTTCTGGTTACGATTTCAGAAATCAGAGAAGTACAGGAAGCGGCTGGGTAAAAGGCTCGAGCCAACCCATTCAACTCTAACTGTTCCTCTTTAGATAAGTAAGCTTAAGATACGCAAAACCTTGATATTGCCATCAACCATGTAAGGTTGCAAATTGTCCAATCCATTTGCCGAGGACACCGTATATTCTGTGACCCACTTTGCATCCTTTCCATGCTTTCCTTGGGTCGATATCCCAGTCACTCTTTTCTTTTCTCCCAGGTCAATAAGTAGATATTCTCCTGTTATGTTGTTGGCAGCGCACCAGCCTCCACCACCAATCACGCGGTTTAGTCGTGCACTCCAAGGCTCGTTGTTAACGTTGTAACTACTGGCTGTGAATAAATCGTCCAACAATTCGCCATTATTCACACCAAGAGGGAAGCCACAAACTGAAACAAACAATAATAAACCAGTTGTTATAGTAATTTATAATTACTGATTTCAGTATTTGAACCTGGTCATAAGCGAGCCTCAGAGTAAAGAGCAAAGGCCTTAGAGTTGACATGAGTCTTGAATTAGGGTATGTGTGATCAATCGGTTATCTCTTGTTATACGGTTGGTATCCCAGTAAGCTACTTTAATGATTGCAAAATTATTGTAGCACACAAGAATAATTCTGACTATCGCTGGTAAAGTCCGTACAGACTTGACCAGACGTTGTAATGAGTTTGTCAGCAATGTCGCTATACATTCGTAAAGCTTGAGAGGACATCAAAACTTTAAACACTATAAAAGAATCAAATCTTACAATATGCCTTTCATTTATAATACAAAAAATTGGATCCCAACAGTATCAAATTTAACTTTTTTCGCTCCCACAAAATAAAACTCCAATTATCAATAATCCATTTCAATCCCCCATAATTTTACATACATAGACTTTGTTTCGGAATCAAATAGTTGGCTTAATAGATCCTTGTTTCTTCGAGGGTAGAAAATAACACATGCTTAATCACTTATGCTCCCATTACGAAAAACCAGTCTTCAATCTCCTTGCATGTTTTCACCTTGAAAAGTTTTCTGTCAGATGCTGCAAGATGGCATGGGCTTTCAGAGCCACAGACTCGTTAAGGTTAAACTTTGTCAAACAATTTCTTTCAGGCAACCTTTGCTTTAGTTTGGCAAGCTGGCAGATGTAACCTAAGTGATACTCAGATTCATACCTTGATAACCATACAGTTCAACTTTCATGCACACGTGATTAAACCACGTGACAGAAAGAAACCTGACATAACGAGCTTTTATTTCGTGGCTCATTCCATGTTTGACGATGCCATGGTCGTCGGTGTTCCCCAGGAATACCTAAAAGAAATGTTATGAAAGTATGAGTAATGTCTACTTTAAAGCCATCTCTAACCAGTATTTCAGTTTCATTCCTTTCCTTTCATCAGCTAAAGACTTGCTTGTTGTTGTTGTCGTTCTTGTTGTTGCATAAGTTCATTATACGGTGAATGTTTTTAACAGCTACTAGAAGTACTTTGATTATCACAACGAAAAAAGAATGTACATTTCTGAAGAAAATTAAAATTTGATATGTTTAATTAAAAATTAAGAATAAATACGCTGCAGGTCAAAAACGCTACCTTTGCAGTCTCATTTTCGATGTACAATTCCCANTTTCGTGGCTCATTCCATGTTTGACGATGCCATGGTCGTCGGTGTTCCCCAGGAATACCTAAAAGAAATGTTATGAAAGTATGAGTAATGTCTACTTTAAAGCCATCTCTAACCAGTATTTCAGTTTCACTCCTTTCCTTTCATCAGCTAAGGACTTGTTTGTTGTTGTTGTCGTTCTTGTTGTTGCATAAGTTCATTATACGGTGAATGTTTTTAACAGCTGCTAGAAATACTTTGATTATTACAATGAAAAATAATGTGCATTTCTGAAGAAAGTTAAAATTTGATATGTTTTATTAAAAATTAAGAAGAAATACGCTGCAGGTCAAAAACTTTAAGAGAAATAAAATAGTTCACGCTACCTTTGCAGTCTCATTTTCGATGTACAATTCCCACGAAGACCCATCCAAACTGTACGACAAATTGTACTGCGTCACCCAACAACTATCATTCATCACGTGACTACCTTGAGTGGCCACTTGAGTGATGTTATGGCTAGTTCCTAGGTCAATCTGTAAGTACTGTTGACTGTTATCTTCTCCCGCGCGCCAAGTTTCGCTCTGGAATCCAACAGCTAGGCGGGCTCTCCAAGGCTCGTTACCTGGCCCTGCATGACTGGAGGCCGTCATGGCTGAATTATTAAGCTTTTGTTTCTGAATTCCCAGAGGTGTACTGCGACCTTGTGATTTCAACAAAATCTGATTAAGATATTTCTGTCACAGTATTTTAAGAAAACAAATTACTACTTTGCTACTCTTCTCCACAGTTTCGTTTCTTGTTGTTTTACTATAGACACTTTCAGTAGTTGCGTTATACATACCCCTACTCCGTATGTCCACTCGCATACACACATGACCAACCCAACTGACTGGATGGATCCTGATAAATCGTGCCAAAACATGTTTCATAAATTGGCGAGTGGCAACAGACGTGCTGTCGTTATTTCCTTGGAAGTGCTATAAATGAAAACATAGATTATTCAAATTACTGATTGTCAAAAGAAGTACGGCCAATAGAGTTCTTATTCTCTCAAAAAAAGAAACCCTGTGAGGACAGAGACCTATGAAACGAAAACTGCTCATTACATTTCCATATATTCTGCAAAGCCGGAAATTCTCATAACGTTAAAATAAAGAATCAAATATATGAATAGAACGATCCCTGCTTTCATTTCTCTTTCTTCCATTTTCAACGGTGGGAAAAACCTAGTGGGATAACATTATGCATTTTTACCTTTAAAGAACCGTTCTCTTTATATTGTTTCCATATGTCACCAGAATGTCCATAAGAAACCGTGTAGGTCTCAACCCAGGCGTCCTCGTCGACAGCTCCTTGAGTAATGATCTCTGTGACGTGGCTGTTTCGCTTGAGGTCGATTTCTAGGTATTGCACATCGTCATCGAACTCAGCACACCAAGACTTGTTGCCGCTGAGTATGCTGTCCTGTGGTGTCAGCGGATATCGAAAACTTGAAGCACTGAAGGAGGTGTTCGTAACCACAAGCAACTCGTCCTCTGGATTGGAGAGGAGAATTGTGAATGAGAGCAAGATATGCCAAAACAAAGCAAAAATAATCCATAATGAGCTTCAGTAAGTACTGTACAAATCAACATAAGCAGTCTTTTTTTAGGAATTGAGAAACTCCTGTGTTTTTAATCACGTCGCTGTTTAATTTCTTACCAATTCTTTTGCCATAAATTTCCACTCTTAGCGAGAGCGTGGGCATAGTTGTTGCCCATCGAGTCACGTGGAACTTGACGTAGCGAGTGTAAAATGCCCGGATGAAGACGTGTCGCACTGGGAGGTCCTGTTCTTTATAGGTGTTGCCGCTGAAGACCTGTATACACAACATTAAGCATGTGACCGTTTTAATTGGGAGTTAAAATTTCAAGTTTATATATTGTTAAAAAATCTACTCCCTTTTTCCGTAGTCTGAACTATTTTTAAACCATAATGGCGCCATAAAACACTTTAAACTTGTAGTGAAACCTAGGGCTAAGCTCATGTTTGGAACATTTTATGACGTCATTAAATTTGTACGGTCTGAAAAATGTGGTCGATCTGTTGAATACCTTGGGAAATCTTTCCTCTAGATAGTAATACCATCCAGTTCCATCATCACTAAATGATAACAGATACTCCAACACGTATCCATACAAGTCGTGCTCATCATTATTACAGCCCTGTGTTGCGACTCCACCTACGGACACCAAACCTACACCCAGGTCAACAAGGAGGAAGGTTTTTGCAGGCAGGAAGGCCCAGCAGCCAGTGCTGCTGTGTAACCGCGATAGCCACGGTCCGTACGTTCCGTGCATCTCTGACTCAAAGCTGTCCGAGGCGAAGATATTGCTGTCAGCGATTCGGTGGTCGCTCATCCCCAAAGGTGTCAAGATCTGTTCGTTGAAGACTGAAAGAATAGGAAAATCAACATTATAAATAAGTCCAACCAGCAGCCTGAGATGCTAGTAAGAATAGTGTTTCGATTGGATTCTTTTTTCTGAGGTCTCCTCGGTATATCTTGAGAAACATAGCTTTCTGGTTCTTTTTTTCTATTGAGCCATTTCCTTCATCTATAGGGGAAGAATGTGGAAACCTAAAAGTGCAACATAAATTTAATTTCCACACGCTAGTCTGCAGTAATACAGTATGCCTATGTTAGGTATAATTGCCAGTTCATTCGATTGGACAGGGCCTTCGCAGGTGTGAAGTGGTGAGAAATATGTTTAAACATATTAACATACTTAATCAATTTCAGTTGCGCCGTAACGAGAGGAAAGCCTTACCTTTGCATCCGTACAGTTCGATCCTTACGCATGCGCGAATGTTCCATTTCTTAGGATGAAAGCGAATGTACCTGACACTCGTAACATTCTTCAGCTGGTTTTTCACAGTCGATGCCCCGTCCGAATTGCCGGTAAATATCTATATTGAAACATAGTATATAACATTCCGGTGAAAATGAACTACTGCATGTTGTACCGCAGATGTTGTTGTTGTTGTTGTTTTTTCCGTATTGTTCTTGTTCTCTCAGAACATGTACAGTTTGTTCCCTTCCATACTTTGCCGCTGAAAAACTGTTTTCGACACTGAGTTGACTACTAAGCGAAGAAAACCATCCTACTTAGGTGTAATTAGTGAGGTTGGCTGTTTTTGTTGTCATGTTTGTTTTTGTAGAATTTTCGTTTCATTTATAGACAGCAGTTAGCTCTGTTCAAATTTCTTTGCTTCCCGATCAAGCAGCAAGGCAGAGCCACAGCAAACCAACAGGGGGCAAGGAAAAGCGAGTATTCCCTAAGAGTATGAGAGTATGATGCAAAATTATAGCTTGATAATATCTGAAACTGAGGACCAACCTTTACAACACCGCTCTCAGTGTATGAAAACCACAACGAATTTTCTCCCCGGAAATCCAAGGTGTATTGCTGTACCCATGCGCTGTAATTTGATCCACTGTAGAGTCCTTGAGTAGCAATAAACCGCAATCTGTAAAGTCTTCCAATGTCCACCTGGTAAGATAAAGTAGTTGGTCAGACTACATACGCACTGGACTAATAGGTTTGAATATAGCTTCTGAAAATAACGCACAATCGGTTGATTGGGCTGCAGACTTGAACCGCTGGAGCTTTAAACTTTTTTTCAGGGCAGCCATGTTGAATACTCTTGAGAGTTAAATCTGGAGTGAGGGCCATGTAAATCTAAAACAGCCTAGCGTTAACAATGTTTATTCAACATGGTAGAGCCACAACAAAACTTAGTCTGCGTTTGAAAAAAAAAAGAGGAAGAAGAAGAAGAAGAAGAAGAATGAGCCTGTTTATGGTCTAAATGACCAGCTTATCTACTTTTTCTTCAAATAAAAAGGAAAATGCGTTGCCTGTACAGCTTCTTTTCATTGGCCACAAATAATGGAAGTAAACACACCAATTTCATTTCTTGTTTTTTTGCTTTTAACAATTCGTTACGACGCTTTCCTCATCAAAGGTAACATAGTGCATGAATTAACCAATCGCTTAATTTGAATTACAAAGGTTAATGTTCCAAGAATTATACCCACAGGGTCACCCGAATCTATGAAAAGTTAAACAGAGCATATCTTATCGAATTATATGATGATGATTACCTTTATTTTTCATCAATTCATTATCATTTCCATCAGGATTAATAACCAAACAAGTCAGTTTAACATTACTCAAATGCGACGAAACACTAACTTGCAAGAAGGGCTGAGTGTCATGTTTGGCTGGGCACCAGGACTCTCTTCCGCCAAGACGTGACATCCATGGGTAACTGCGTGAGGACTTGTAACTAGAGGCGGTGAAAGCAGACTCTTTTATAAACCAGCTTCCAATGCCGACTTCATCAGAGCAAACTGGAAAATAACATAAGGAGAGTTCTAACCATGCAAATAAGAGTACGATGTTCATGGTAATGATGGCGTACTACGTAAAGGAAGTCTTGGCTAAAAAAAGAAAAAAGAACAGTTTTGTTCCAAATTACAAGTTGATGTTTCACATTAACATTAATGACCTCAGAGTTGAGAATGATGCTTGATGCATCGAAAAGTCAATTGATAATACTTTTAATTTTCCTGGTCAAATGCTTTAACAAGCAACTCATTGCCCGATCTCTTATGTTAAATTGTCCCAGAAATTTAAAGTGTATAATTCTTCGCCTGTTTTCCGCTATGCTGGCCGTTTCCCTTCTACTATTTTAGGATTTTAAGTTTCCCTCGTGCCGCCATGTTTAATCTCCTTGCATTTCAGTCAAGAGTCAGAATTTTTGTAACTTAGAAGCTACGGGAACAATGAATGTAACTCGCTTAATTTGTTGTACTAGGGCTACACGCTTCTATGATTTGTCTGAGGATACTGAACTACCCAGGATAAGAACTAAAGACGAACGATGAAAATTGCAAATCACTAATGTTTGCTAAACTATTCAGGCTATTCTCGACATCCCGGGTGGTTTACAATCATTGGGCGTAACCTGTAAGATGGTGTGTAAAAAGCGCCATCATTATACGTTCATTTATGATCGCTTACAATGTTTCGGCCGAAACAGTTCAGTAAAAGTAAATAAAAAAGTACGGTAAAGAAGTGGGCATCAGGCCAAAGTTTCTCATACCACCGGAGCTTATCAGTCCAGGGTACAGTAGCATGAGGACACAAGGAATCATGGCAAACAATTCCAAGGTTACCCCCCCCCCCTGGCACTTAATTCGCCAGTACCCATTCGTACAAACCGGTAAAGAGAGCAGTGTCTTGCCTGAGAACACAACAGAATGAATACTACTAGGGTTTGGAACCGGACTGCTCGATCCAGGAGTCGAGCACACTAATTGCTAGTCACCACGTCTTTAACAAAATATTTTTCTATAGTCAGTATATTTATACCACCTTTATCACAACCATAAAGTTCGAGCTTTAAGCTTCTGCCTCCATGCCAATCTTGGACCCTGATCTTTATAAATCTTGCCTCTAGTTTCTGTTCTGTCGTCATCTTCTTCACCATGTTCCTCATATACAAGCCTTTTATCTTCTAAATGAAAAATCGAACTTTTAAAAGACCATGGAACGACAGGTATAAGATAGAACGAAAAAGCTTTAATTCAAGACACTTTCCTTTGAAAGTAAAATATCTAAGACTTTGAAACTGAAACGTAAGGAATAATTTAGAAGATTCAATTTCCGAGTAAATTCCATTTCCGCATATTATCTGCATGCATAGAAGACCATACCATTCAAAGGCCTGCTAGCGGATCCACAAGGTTACTTACTTAGGTAAAATGCAACCCAAGTTGCCCTTAAACGCAGAAGGAAAGACACGAAAGCTGATCATGAAAGTCTACAGGGATGTGAAGCGGACATCCAGCCCACTCTCACACTGCTACGTGATTCAATTCAATTCAATTCTTTATTTACACTCTAAACGCATTTACATTCATTTTGTACGGCAAAGGAAAGAAAATGGTAATAATTAAGCAACAAAAAAGACGTAACCCTTAAGCCTACCAGTCTTGAATATGAACACCGTGTAACTCCGACATGAAAAGGTTTAAATCATATCTGGTAAACCCCTTTACACAGACTATCTTCGATGGTGGTCATGCAAGCGAAACTAAGATAAGGCATGCCACCCGACCCCCTGTAGATTGTCTACAGAGGGCAAAGTTTGAGCTCAATGTGCAAGTTATCCCTGGCTTGCCGGACAGGGTAAGAGATAAAAACGACGTGAAAAGCAGAAGGTATGATACGCCGGCTTAAGCATGCGTCTAGCCAGATGAACCTGACGGATTCATGAAGCAGATGGCTTTTAAGAATAGACTGCCTCTTAACTGGCGCAAAATACTAACCTCACTGCTTCCGCGAGGTTGATAATTTTCCCAAGGTTCATCACTGTTCATCCTGTAGTCCAAGAAAAACCAAACTAACCAGTGCTCATGATGGGAATCTCCCTCAATCTCTATATACGTAATGACTTTCGGTTCCCCAAGATCAACCTCAAGATATTCTGATGACGAGCCAGATGACGGAATCCAGCCGGATCCATGCCCCAAACGTGCGCGCCAAGGTTCTCCGCCATCTTTGAAAGAAGATGCCTTGATGCTGGAGTCTGGTATGAGACCACTGACCATTCCCAATGGCTCAGCACACTCTGAAAGAAAACGTTTGTATTGAACTGTGCACCAGGAAAAGTGAAACGGGTATGAAGAGAAAAAGGATTGTGTTAGCTTGGTAAAAGCGAAATCGACAAAAAATGTCTCTAGGTCGAAACAACCATCGAATTGAAAAGGGTAACTTCCACAGGAAGAGCGAGACCAATTCTTAGCTAATTTCAATTTCAATTCGCCCTTCGTTAGCATCAAATTGGCCAACTCACCAGTCAAGCTGTAATAATTTCTTCAACAAAAAGGAAGAGAATTTAGATATGGCAAATTCGATCTTCAAAAACGAAACATCAACAATAGAACATGAGATTATTTTAACAGATCCTTGAACTACATAATTCATGGGATATGGCAGTGGCTTGGGAGGCGCGGTGGCCTCATGGTTAGTGCGCTCGTTTGCGGATCGAGCGGTCCGGGGTTCGAGCCCTGGCCGGGGACATTGCGTTGTGTTCTTGGGCAACACACTTTACTCTCACAGTGCCTCTCTCCACCCAGGTATATAAATGGGTACCGGCGAACTTAATGCTGGGGGTAACCCTGCGATGGACCAGCATCCCATTCAGGGGGGAGTAGAAATATTCCTGGTCGCTTTATGTTACAGAAACCGGGATAAGCTCCGGCCTGGTAGGCCATTTGGCTCGTATGCAGACTACGGCAGTGGTACTTGTACTAGCTGTAATAAAAGTAGAAGCAGCAATAGCAATGACGGCGGAGGCGACAACAGTAGGTACACCACCGTGGTAGTAACTACTACTGCTAATAATAATTAGAAGCAGCTACTAGACGTTGTTGTTGCACGTTTGTTCATCAGGCTGACGTAGATGTTTTCTCGGAAATTTTGCATTTTTGATATATAGTTTTGATCAGTATAAGTAGCTTAAGGGGTCCTTACCTTCACACCCGTACAATTCCAAGCTGATCTGCCCATAATTACTCCATGTCCGAGGATGTAGGCGGATATAACGTGACCAAATTTTCTTCGGAAGAGGCTTACGTAACGTCTGGTATTGAGTTGTACAACCCGAAAAAACCTGCGATTAAATAATGAACATGAAAAGCATGGGTTGGAAGAAGTGCCAGAGGCTTATGTGACGTCTGGTACTGAGTGGTACAACCCGAAAAAACCTGCGATTAAGTAATGAACATGAAAAGCATGGGTTAGAAGAAGTGCCAGAGGCTTAAGTAACGTCTGGTATAGTAGTGCGCAATCCGACAAAACCTGCGATGAAATAATGCACATGGGATGCATGGAGTGAGCGAAGTACAAAAGGCTTACGTTACCTCTTGTATTCAAATGTACAACCCGACAAAACACGAAATTAAATAATACACATGGGAGGTATGAAGTGAACAAAGACCAAGAGGGTTACGTAACGTTTGTTATTGTGCTGACAACCTGACAAAGCCTAAGATGAAAATCTAAACCAAACTAACTGTAAGAGGCACGGGAAGATTCTCGTGGAGAGTTTCAGAAAAAAAGATTCAACGAAGCCGAGGGAATCGCAAGCCGTAACATGGGGGCTAGGAAGCAATACTCTTCCATCAATTTTCACGGCGGATTTATCGAAGGTATATCGTAATTTTTTATAGCTAATGTACGCGATCTCTACGCTGTTGCTTTTGGTTGCGGGAAAAGCTAGTCGTGTGCACAAGCTTACTTATTATTTCTCCTGGATCGTTGAACAACTTCTGAAACTTTCCACGATGTGCAAATCGCCGTTGCACGGGCCACGCAACTATGTCGACCGAACGTGGTAACGATCGGCTAATTACTGCTAATTACAGTGCACGCACCTTCTTGCTATCGCACGAAACCAAAATGCAACTTTAGTTCGTCTTCTGTACGATGGATCCACAGTGTGAGGTCGATTGTTGCAGATTGTGTGGGTTTTTTTTTTTGGAAGAACGAAGGAAACGAAATATTGTTTGGGAATTGAAAATTCCCCTAATGATGATTATGCAGTAGTATTATCATGGTTGCCTAAAATAATTTTTACCTGAATTTCATTCTGAACGACAACAATGATAGATCATAGCTAGAGACTATAGCTATGTAGGGATAGATCATAGCTGTGAATTATAGAGTTGTTAGGAAATTTACGCCCAACACTGTTGACAGCCATATTGCTAAGGGATTTTTGGTTTGGCGCGATAGCAAGAAGGTGCGTGCACTGTAATTAGCAGTAATTAGCCGATCGTTACCACGTTCAGTCGACATAGTTGCGTGGCCCGTGTGACGGCGATTTGCACATCGTGGAAGGTTTCAGAAGTTATTCAGCGATCGAGGAGAAATAATAAGTAAGCTTGTGCACACGACTAGCTTTTCCCGCAACCAAAAACATCAGTTTAGAAATCGCCTACATTAGCTATAAAAATTTACGATATACCTTCGATAAATCCGCCGAGCAAATTGATGGAAGAGTATTGCTTCCTAGCCCCCATGTTACGGCTTGCGATTCCCTCGGCGTCGTTTAACCTTTTTTTCTGAAACTCTCCACGAGAATCTTCCCGCTGTACGGGCCAAGCAGGTCGATCGATGAAGAAAACCACTTCGTGTAAGAAAGCGACAGAGTTACCCGGCTGGACCTCCTCGCTGATTGGCCAGAAAAATTTTTTGGCCAATCAGAGGGACGGAATTCGACCACTTCTGGAACTGGTTTGGTAAGAATAAGAATAAGTTCTCAGGGGCTTTTCAGCTCTTGAAGTAAACTTTCGCGCCGAAAATATCGCTTCGTCCCGGCTGGTAGCCCCTAGGTCTCCGAGGATGTTAATTTCATGGATGTTGTAGAATTCACGTAAGGAGATTAAAAGTATGACTTAAAAAAGAGAAATATGAGTTTTAAGCGTCTTTCAGTTACAGTGAACTTGCAAAAGCACCTTACCTCAATGTTACCATGAACAATGTAATCGTACCAGTCAACCCCATCCTCGCTTGTCTTCAGTGTAAATGAAGTAACCATGTCAACGTGTGATTCAACTGCAAGCGCCGCGACTGTTCTTCCATAAGGCGTTACAACCACTTGAAGATAATCTCGATTGTCACGGTGGGAATCGCTATACCACGGATGATTGTCGTGTAGCCTGATATAATCCCAACGATATTTACCTGAGGACCCGGATAAATAGTCTGTATGTAAATTTCCATTCTCCAAGCCAAGTGGTTCCGCGCACGCTGTGGAAATCAAGATAGTAATATACGGTGAGCCCTATCCTTGAAATCATAATCATAATAAGATTGCGCACTCTATACAAGTGCTATGTAAATTTGATTTAGCGCCCAGTGTGCATAATAAATTTTGGTAGCTCAAGTAGCGGGGGGGGAGGGGGACGCTTATTTTAGACATAGCTCTTACTCAGGGAAGGACATGTATGTCTGTTTATCTACCTAGATTGACACTCGCACAAACCACAAACGCTATTGAATATGGTTTAATAATGGATTTGAATCAAGTCTAAACCAAAACGCAAATCTTTGTCAACCCAGTATTAAACTAAACTCAATGCACTGAGTAGTATTATTGAAATACGGGAGCGTAATAGGTGTACGGGCACCTTCGGACTTAAGGGGGGCGGTGACCTTCTCTTCAGAAACATTGTACAACGCTCGAACGAGTGAGGGTTGAAATCGGGACCAAACCGCACTCAAATTGCATGAAAAATAACATCTACAATTCCCACGTCTAATGAAGTTCTTATAATTTGAAAAATAGCTATTTTGGAACCTTGCATACTCTATGGACTCTATAGACAGTCTGCATGATATAGTTAAGTCTACAAAAATGGAGAGAAATGTAGGCACGAACTGCAGGAGATGCCAGCGATCGGCAGATCAGCACCAAAGCCATTCAAGTGTTTTTTGAGGGTCCGTTCCCGAAGGTTCCGAAAGTTTTCGCACCCGGGAAGCCGTAGCAAAAACTCAAACCTTATGATTACAGAACTGTTTTATTCACAAGAACAGAGGTTGTCTTCAGACAAGGAGTTTCAGGCGTATACACCTTTCGGTTTTTAGATAGAGATTACCTGAAACTGGCTTTGCGGGCACGAAAAGTTTCCGGGGCTTTCCAGAAACGAGCCCCAGGTACATGTATACGTTTAATCACACAAGGATTCATCAAAAGTAACCATTTGGAGACTTTATTTATGACTTTTGAAAATCACACAAACTGCATTATTTTGGAATGTAGTCTCCTAAGTGCTGTTGTTCGAATCATGAGCGTTTTGTCGGAAAAAATCACAATTTCCGAAACTGGGGGGTGGGGGGCTGCAGACGCCACCCTCTAAGTACATCTATCGGAATAGGGTCGTGTACTGGAACAAGAGCGTTTATTGCCAAAGGAACCGTAAAAATAGAGGGAGCGACATTTGATTGATGAGGGAACCCATTGGAAAGAAATGGCTAAATCGAGGCATTTACCGCAACTTTACCATAACCAATGATCAATCACGTATATAAACAATTTGGTTGTTTTGTCAGAAAACTTGGTAAACTACCGCACATAAAGCATGCTTTCAGACGAACTACTCAGTTTGGGTCATTTTGAACGAGCAAATCATTCTTTTGTTCCGCTCGTTAGTGGCTGTTTACTAGTACACAACTCTTGTTTCATAAGGATTCGTTTGTCAACATACCTTTACAGCCGGTTAGTTCCACCCGCATACAAATCAGTTGATACCACTCTATCGCATGCAGTCGAACAAAACGAGAGCGCAAGGATGGAGATAGTTTATGATTTGTTGTCTTGTTTTCAACATTGTTACCCTCAAAAACCTGTCATTTAGAAAGAAATATCACGATATTGCTTTATTGTATTTCTGCTAATTTTCTGTGGACTGATTACTCAAGCATTTGGTTTATAATTAAGCACGAGGTTTTTTTACATTTTCTGCGTGGTTCACGTTCGTTAATTTATAAAACCTTTGTCGTGAGTCATTCAGTATGTCAATAAGTAGATAATATGTTTGTCTTTCAGTCTATCAGACAAAAATGACTGAATCAGTTAGTCCGCGAACCAGCAGTTTATTAGTCCGTCCGTTAGGCAGAAAAATAGTCCGTCACGCAATCAGTCTCTTGACTCAATCAATCAGTCAGTCAGTTAGATAGTCTGCCAGTGAGTCAGTTAACGGTGTGCGTTAAAAGTTGTCAATTTGAGCAATCAAGTATTTAGAAAATCTAACACTTACCCCAATTCCGTCCTCCACGTGTTGACTCCACGCGATCCCGTCGTAACTGTAAGTGACGGAAAACTTGGTAACCCAGCCTTGAATCTCGACGGGGCCTGAGTATCTTCCTTGCATCAATATGTTAGTGATCTTGTGTACTTCAATTAAATCCACCTGGAAGTACTGCTTGATATTTGTCTCTCGTGCACACCAAGCTCCACCTTCAATAAAGGTGTTTAATCTTCCATATTCCGGTTTGTGCCGCTTGTCTAACGAGCTTGAAGCTTTCAAAGAATGGTTTGCTATTTTTCCAACTTCAAATCCAAGGGAATCATAAGCATAAAGTTCTGAGGAAAAAATATCTTTATCTATAAATTTACTTGCTTTTTTTCTTGTTCATATGTTCAATCTACAGAGTAAACGATTGACGCCCTGGATATGCCGGATAAAAAGGAAAAGCCCTTATCAATTTCAGGGATAATAATAAATAATTAAACAAACACGTAAATGATTAATTTTTTTTAAACATATTTTTTTGGATAAATTTTATCTTAAGAGCAAAAAACCTCATCTGTAAGGCCCACTTCGAAAAGAAGGAAATTCTTTACACATTACATTGAGTAATGTAGGGTCAAACGTGGCAAAAAAGGTGAGAAACAAAGCCAGCACGCTGAACATAAATAATTAATCCTTAAATTGGAATCTCGCAGGTTCACTTATGCCTATAACTAATTTTGTCAAGGTTTTAACCTTTTCTAAGTGGTATTTAATATTTTGAAGTGTTTAGTATTTTAGATATTTTTTGAGTAGTATGTTCCTTTTCTCTTAGTAGTTAACAATAAGATCACAAGCTCGCCATTTCTATGATCTTCTGGTCACCCACTCACCGCTTGAAGAGCAGCCATACAACTCAATCCTCATACACATCTGTTTAAAGTAGCTGCTTGGTCGGACACGAACATGGCGGGCCCTAATAACATGGCCCAACTTCACATATTTCGTTTTGTCATTTCCTTCATTTCCACGAAGTTGCTGTAAAACGAAATAAAACACAAAGTATGTATCTCGTATTTTTCTGGTAAAAGTACCTGCTTTCCTAAAGCCCTGGCCAAACGGAGTCGCAAGTAGTCGCAAGAAGCCACAAGTTGAACTTGCGTAGAGACTGCCGTTGGGTGGCCTAACGGACTCGCAAGTTTCGTCGCATTTCGAGGCATTTCCTCACATTTCGAGGCAGACATATCCTGTATTTCATTGGCTAATAATAGGTTAATGGACGTCACTCAACTTGCGTTGACTTGGGTTGGGTGGCCAAACGGAGTCGCAAGTAGACGCAAGTTGAGAACTTGCGTCTTTTTGCGACTCCGTTTGGCCAGGGCTTTAAAGCAACCCATTTTAGCCAATGAAATACAAGATCTTTATCCTTGAAATGTTGTTTTTTTTTTCTTTTCTTTTTGGCGACTTGCGTGCACTTGCGAGGAAGCTTGCGAGTCCGTTTGGCCACCCAAGCGGAGCACAATAACTATAGGAAGGGAGCCACAAGCATGCTTAGAAATAGAAAACCATGCAACTCTTTTCTCATGGTCAACCTAGCGGCATAGATCGCGGGCGCTTGCGCCCTATGACGGCGAACGATTGCGTCAGACAACGACGAGCGAATTGCCAAAGATGGAGGCAGCGATCAAAGCGGACAAAACAAACGTTTTGATGGCTCTTGTAATTTCAGTGTCGGCGCCAATCGCCCCAGGTTTGGCTTAACGGTAGAAAAGTTGGACTTGTTTGTATTTGATTCCGTATTCAGCGACATAGACAACTCGAAAACCATAATCAAACTTTGCTGTTGGATTGAAGGTCTTGGTTCATAAGCTTTGTACTGATTAGCACTCTTCCCAGGACAGTTATTGAAGAAAAAAGAGGAACTTGATTAGCAAGTAAAATAACGGCGTTGAGTAAATATCGTAATTAGATGGTTAAGCTAGGGTGAGAACTTCAAAAAAATTGTCTCATTAGGCATGCTTAGCAGAGCTCTGAATACAAAACAGAAAATTCCTTTTCATCTCATGGTAAAAAAAACTCTCCTTTGGATTCCAAAGGTGTAATTTGGTACGAAAATATATATGGCTTTTTTTGAAGAGGCTATTAAAAACCGCTGAGATTCAATGCAAGGTTTATTTTTTTCTGAATCAGTAGAAAAAAAAAAGAGAAAGCCTGAGAAAATATGCTTTCTTTTTTTAACAAAGATGTAATTTTCCGTTCGCTTACACCTTCGACGGCAGTATCACATACTGGCAAAGTCCAACAGAAAATTTAATTTTGACAAACAAATCCAGCCAAATAGAACTTTCCTCTTTTTTGAAATGGTCCTTCTCTTTTCTTTTCAGCTAGAAATTTCTTATTGAAACCTCTTAACTTTAAATTGTTGTCTACATCTTTCCAAAAAGCACTGTTCAGCTAAACAAAGGGAGAACAACAGTGCATTGTTCTTCTATTCCAAATACTGAACTTTTAGTGAAGACGCCTTGAAACCATGTCTGAAATATACAATTACATTCGTGCTTGGCTTGTCAAATATGGCCATCGCTGCAGCCGAACGTGTCTCAAAATCCTTGATACGTGTAGACTGTCTGTGACGTAGGCTGCTGTAGGTCAATATTGCTGAGTAGTATTTAGGAACTCAAGTGATCAGATTGATTTCAGTGTTATGCACGTCATTCGTTTATATTTGAGAACTCAAGTTGTCAGATCAGATTTCAGATTGAAGGGACTCTTACTATTTGTGCCTCTCACTGTTTAAGCTGTGAAAATTCTTCGCTGAAATTACAGTGATTTGGAATATCTCACTTGCGAGAGAACTGTAACGACCTGATCCTACATACTGCAAACTCCTCAAGACAACATCATTCTTAATTCACCAATTGACGATCATAAACTGTGGTGTGTTCATCTTAATTTGCTTATATAAATGAGCAGAAAAATCTTATAACCATAACTAAATGAACCATTTTATCACAACTGAAGGAACAGGTCTGGTGTGCCGAGCCCCAGTTCCCCGTGACCAGTGGTTTTTTTTTTTTTTTCATTTTCTTTTCCAGTGCGTTACAAACAAATGTTGTTATTGTTGTGTTGTTGTTTTTATTGTTGTTTTTTTTTTTTACCAAAGTGAACAAAGCGTTTTTGCAATTGGGAAGTTTTAACAACGAATGGGCATGAAATAAATGGTTTCTCAGTGTGTTGGTAATTTAATCGTTTTTAGCAGTAAAAACAGAAACAAGGTTAAAAAGGGACTCGAACCCATGACATGCAGCCCGGACAGTTGCTCTATATCGCCATGCAAACCATTTACACAGTAAAGATTTCATAGTCCATTTAGAAGAGCTATGCATCGGATTACAAACCCATGAGTTTCAATGCTGCTGCAGCTTTGATTTTTTTTCAACTAAAAAAGAGCAGAAGTTTAAAATGCTTATACACTTCACATGGAGGAGATCGCTCTGTGCATTTTGTTCGCCAAGTTCTGTGTGTCGGACACCCCAGTATACAGAACGTGCTAACGATGGACTATAGCCATTATGCATACTGACATCAGACTAGCAAATTTCACTACTAAGCTTCGCATTGAAAATGCAAATTGAAATTTTGTCCTGAACAAATTCCCAAAACAGCAAACTGACATGGAAAGAACATCACGTAAAAAATAACACGAAGGTGCCGGAGATTTTCGAAACTAACGTGTAAACGGGGCTGCGCGTGTGACGTAATCATGGATAAGCGGTACATCTGTAATTTTGTACTTACTTCATAGTACACAGGATCGACGTACGTTTCAAAGCGTTTGCCGTCCAGAGAGTAATGCAAATAAAATCTCGTGACCCTTCCACACGAAGCGCTATCTCCTTGAATGGCGAGGCCTGTTATAGCCATCACATGATCAAAGGTGAATTGAAGAAATTCGAAGTTTTTGTTCAGAAGTGGTCGCCAGATCCCCGCATGATGGTTCAACCGTCCGCGCCAAGGTTCGTACCCAGGTCCAAAATACGTGGATGCGGATACATTGAAGAAACCTCTTTCAATTCCGAGAGCATATTCGCATACTAAAGGAAAGAGCAGGACGTAGAATTAGTTGTTGTAATATAGGATATAGCGTATTTATTTAAAAACAAAAGCTTTCTACAGCCGGTCTACTATCTTAGACGGATAAAAATTGTGATAAAAATTGTTATCTGTCGAAGACAGTAGACCGGCGATCGAAAGCTTATGCTTTTAAATACTTTTTACCAGAGAACGTTACATCGTATATTGTCATGATCAATCCTGGTAACGGATCCGCGATATTTTTAAGAATTAACTGTGTTAGGCCCAGTTCAGACGCCGAACTTTTCATGAGCCGAACCAAATACATTGAATTAAGTACATGAAAAGTTCGGCGTCTGAATCAGTTAAGAACGGCTATTTGAATTTGGAACGGCCCAGCCGTTCTTCCCGCCTAGCTCAGCCGGGAATTTCGGCTTTGGAACGGCTTTGATTCAGATGTCGAACTTTTCATGAGCCGAACCTAATGTCTAAATTATTATAACGTATTTTACAAGCAGTTTTTACTTTGCCTGAAAATCGCTGACATTTCGATGTG